ACGGGCCTTGGGGATGTCCAGCCGGCGAAGTTGGGCAGCGCTGGCAGAAGGAAGGCTCGCAGTCGATTCCAGCATTACGTTTTCTACTCACTGAAAATTGAGGTCTCCAAACCCACGAGATCTTAAGGAGTAGTTTATAATTCTCAAACTTCAAGGAACTTTTGGCCAGCCAAAGCGTATGAACTTGTAGGAGCCTTCAGGAGCGTTTGGCTTGGATTAAGCTGTTAAAGGAGAAGGCTGGAAAATGATGCGGGTCTGAATCCGGCGGTACGCATCTAACAGTTTCGTTACTTCCTTTTTTCTGTCTAACAGTTGGAGTTGAGCGACAACGTCATTTCAGGAGGCCTGGAGGTCCTGGCAGAAAGGTGTCCAAATCTCACATATCTAAATCTAAGTGGCAACAAAATCAAAGATCTTGGCACTGTGGAAGCTCTTGTAAGTACAGAGTGAAAGGGGCTGGTGGAAAAATGAGTAAATACTCACTTTTATGAAGAAGAAATTACTATAGTTGCCCCGGAGTGGTGCAGACTTGGCTGTGTGAGCGGTGTCCTCAAGCACAGTGTAGAAAGAGCGAGCGGGGGTTTGGACAAGGGCAGCGCAAGAGATCAGCAAGCAGAGAGCTGCGGCTGCGCGTGTTCTTCTCAGCTGAACGGCACGCGGAAGGGAACGTCTCCTGTCGCTGGGCACGAGGTCCCTACGGGCTTTCTTCTTGCCAGCTCCGGTGAAACGGATACCGCGGTGTTTTGGGTTTGTCAGTGTTGCAGTTGGTCCTGACCTGATGAGCTCAACGTCACGGCTCTTAGAGGCAGCACCTGTACGTGTGCCGCTGTGAAATTCCTCCCGTTAGTAACGGGATGGACGGAAGGAGGGATTTTTGAGCTTCCCTTTTGTCTCTGAAAGGGGAGTAGCCGTCACATGTCGCTCATCCTGTGCTCATTAAGGTGTAGCTGGTCCAAGAAGCCGCTGCCTTAAGCGCTCATTAAACTGTGATGAGGTGGTCAGGTGGGAGCAGACCTGGAGAGTGCTGGCAGCCGGTGGTTTAACTCCAGGAGGAAGATGCCAGCGCCTGGCACTGCCTGGTCTCCTCACTCGTTTCTCTAGCTAGTTACTCTGGTTTTAGGACTTTGGATATAGGCTGACTTTCCATCAGTTCTCGGCTGCCTGCCGGCCGTGCGGGTGGGTATGGGTAAAGTCTGAAAGGTGAGAAACATCGCCGTCGCTTGTCTGGTCTTCCTGTTGGCCAAGCAGATGAGCAGAGGGGTTCGGACTCCTGCGTGAGGAGTTCGGACTGCAGCAACCGGCGTTTTGAACCAGAGTGTGGGTTTGTAGGGAGCACAGTACAGCACGGAAAAGGGATGGGGACAAAATCAGTCCATGCCTGGCGATGGGGTTAACTACTTGGGCCGTGACTGCGCTGGAACTGGAAGTACCATGTCAAGAAATTGAGGGGGAAAAATCTTTTTCATTTACAGCAAAATCTGAAAAACTTGAAGAGCCTTGACCTGTTCAACTGTGAGATTACGAACCTCGAGGATTACAGAGACAGCATTTTTGAGCTGCTTCAGCAAATCACGTACCTGGATGGATTTGATCAGGAAGACAACGAGGCACCGGACTCGGAAGATGACGATGATGAGGGTAACTTCCCGAAATAAACTGTCCCTAGAAACAGTGCGGGGTAATAAAGGTGTGAATGCAGCACGGGGTATGGGGAGTGCTTGAATGCACTCGCAGCGCTTTTGAAGCGTGGGCTTGGGCTCGGGCTGGTAATAACGCAGTGAGATACCGGAGGAGAACTCCTGCCCAAGGTTTTGAGCATTCTTGCAGAAGCCTCCTGAGTTGAAGGAAACTTGACTGATTGTTACAAAGATACAGCTATTCGCAAAAGAAGTTGTTGCCGGTAGCAGAGCACTTGGGTGCTGGTACAAAGTGAGGGGCCAATGGGCTATTTTGTATGAAAAACCAGGATCTGACTGGGTTTTGTAGTGGCTGCAGTTCCATGCTCGAGTAGAATACAATTTTCTGTTCAAAACCTCCTGACCTGACCTCAGTTGTGTCATTAATGAGGTTATTCCTACTTCTTCTTCCATTGTTGTGCCTGATGGAAAACAAAACCCGTAGGTGTGGGCGTGTGAGCCCCCCTGCTATGGGGACAGGTTGGGAGAGTTGGGCTTGTTCAGCCTGGAGAAGAGAAGGCTCCAGGGAGACCTTATAGCCCCTTCCAGTACCTGAAGGGGCTACAAGGAAGCTGGGGGGGACTTTTTACAAGGGCCTGTAGTGACAGGACAAGGGGTAACGGGTTTGAATTGAAAGCGGGGAGGTTTAGATTGGATATCAGGAAGAAGTTCTTCATGGAGAGGGTGGGGAGCACTGGGACAGGTTGCCCAGAGAAGCTGTGGGTGCCCCATCCCTGGGAGTGGCCAAGGCCAGGCTGGATGAGGCTTGGAGCAACCTGGGCTATGGAAGGGGTCCCTGCCCATGGCAGGGGGTTAGAACTGGATGGTCTTTAAGGTCCCTTCCAACCCAAACATTTCCATGATTCTGTGATGTGACTGCAGGTGTCTCTTCTTTCCGTGTACTTGCCATAACGGACGACTGACACAAAGCTGTTCAAAACCCCTCTAAAACGTGTGGGAGCACCGTTAGCAAAGAGCGGCGCTGTTTGCAGCGGCTGTTGCTGCGATGCGTGTCTGTGTTCTAAATACCCACGCAAATCACTAGTGGATATCCGGTCAGAGGTTTCTCAGGGTTTTTTCTGCGCCCTCAGTCGTGAGCCGGGAGCTGCCGCTGCTTCTTGCTGGGTCACGGCTGCCAGGGGGCTGCTGGCGAGCTGTCGGCCACCAAGAGCGGAGCTCGGAAGCCTGCGTTGAAAAGAACTCCATGGAAGGCAAACAGTTGATGCTTGGAATGTGAAAATAACCCCAGTATTTGAAAATAGATGAATAGGTTATTAACTTGAAAATGACTTGAAGTGTTAAAGCACCTTGTCATTTCTTGTAATTTGTTTAATTGAACCTGTGAAAGTGATTCTGTGCGCCAGACATAGAAATGAACTGGGATCATCTCTGTGGAGCCGTAGGTGTGCCGTAGTAAGCGATTAAATAACCGATACACCTCATCTGTTAAGCTGGTTCTGCCTTGAAATGTTAGGGCTTCGTTCTACGGAGAAGCCTCCCTTTCCCTTCTACCCACTGCCTTTTCAGCTCCCTTGCAGGAATTTGCATACGCAGCCGCTTCAGGCAGCGAGAATTTTGCCTGAAGCTTGTGATGTAAAAATGTGGTATCCTTTCTTTGGGGGAAGAAGTTAGAAAGATTAACTTCATTAAAATCCTGCTCGTTTCCCACGTGTGGCCCAAACTTAAAAAAACAAAACTTAAAAACCCCAAACCCTTGTGGAAAAGCCCCATTACCGGTAGCTGGGCCTGGTGTACACTGACTGTATAAAGAGGGGTTAATGGAACCGAGCTGTCAGCAGATGTGTGTCCTTCCTTTCAGAAGGAGATGAAGATGACGGTGATGAAGATGAGGATGAAGCTGGCCCTCCAGGAGAGTATGAAGAGGAAGATGATGAAGATGATGGAGGTTCAGACTTGGGGGAAGGTGAAGAGGAGGAGGAAGTTGGCCTTTCATACCTGATGAAAGAAGAGATTCAGGTAAAGTTTGGAAATTCTGCGAAATCCAAGAAGCAAAGAAAACTGCCCCAGACTTCCGTGTCAGTTTTAACATGCAGGCACGGAGTATATAAATACAGGGTGGGTGCGGCGAGAGCGCTGCTGTGGCTGGAGTGTGAAGTGTTGACTGGGACATGAGTGGCGACTGTCGGCTCTGAAGATGGTCCTGGCTGACTTCCAAGACGGGGTTCACTTCTACCCCACCCCATAATGTGGCAGGATGGTAGAGCCTCTTGGTTCTCTGTGAGCTAGCGGAGCCGTTCTTCCCAGCATTTTGAAACTGCACTGCTACCAGTTAAATTGTTGGAATAGGGATGTGTATGAAGTAGAATAAATTGATTTCTTTCAGAAAATGGGGGGGAATACCCTGGTTTTGGGAAAGCAGAGAGCCAGTACTGCAAGAAAATGAAACAAAGGAGTCTGGTTTTGTTGTAATAGATGCTGGTTTGTACCATGTGCTCACTTGAAAGTTCTTGGTGGTGGTGTGAAGAGCTGTGGAAGGTAGCCTGCAGGACCTCACAAGTAGTACTGTGCTAAAAGTAGTGGAGGAGATAAGAAAACACACACGTCTTACAAGGTTACGAGCAGATTTTTGTAGATACAAACTGGTTGTGCCTCAGTGATGAGGGGATGGAAGTAACTCCGGGAGTCCTGAGTTAGTGCTCTGCTTTGACGGGTTTGAGGGAGAATGTGTCTGACGTGGATTTTGTGTGCAAGTCTGTGCAAGCGGCTCGCCCATGTCAGATCAAAACCCCCTGTTGATACACTTCCAGCACTGTTCCTTTTGATAAGCGTTTACTTCCCGCCAGCTGCGTTTCACAGGGATGTGCTGCAAACCTTGGACGCGGGCGTTCTTCGTTTTGTTCCTGTAGCTAGCGCTCGCAGGATTTGCTGACGATGGGGCTGCGTTCCTGCCCTGGTGCTCTGAAGCAACGGCCGTAACACGGTTCGTGAGGCCATAAGTTAATCAATCTCTTCTGAAACCGAGGCCTTAGAGGTCGTTCCTCGGAAAACGAACGCCGTGTGACTGGGAAGACTGCGGGGATTTAGTGGTGTGTGGTCATTGGGTGGCGAGGAGTTGCCACGCAGAACCGTGCCGCTGTTGGGGTTCAGGACGCTGGCCCTTCTGATGGTGCTACGAACCCCGATGTGTTGTGCTCCTTTAGGTGAGGAGCAGGTGGTGCTCAGGGCGCAGTAGCTGTGCCTTCGGAAGAGTTCTGCTCTGCTAGCTTTTCCCTGCGTTTTCAAACCCAAAATAATGTACCGTTCTAATTGCAGGGAATTAACCCAGAGTGGGTTTTAACTCCCCTCTTCTGAGGGCAGATGTCAGGCGGGCTGCCTAGTGGTTTCACGTTTTCACTCCTTGCATTAACCTGTGTATAAAGTTTGATGCAGCAGACTGATATAAAAATGAAGATTTCAGTTTGTCTTCGAGGCTTGATGTGGTGCCAGCAGGGCAGAGCTCTTGCACTGTTTAATTTTCTGGGGCTGCTGATTGTTAATTGGTTTACATTTTTCAGCTATCAGCTTAAAAAAAAAAAAAGGAGGAAAAATCCCAAGAACTTAATTCATTCGACAGAGAAACAATCATTCTATGAAGATGTTAGCTGTTCTGCTTTCTCCTCTTCCTTTATGATAGTGGGTTCAGGGGAGGACTGAAGCTGTTGGTCATCTGCTTGCTGCCGTGGCTCTTCAGTTAATTTTGCAATAACTTACTCTCGAGATGGCGCAAGGGAGCGATAAGTGGGGGAAAACCGAAGAAAGGAGAATGCAGGGCCAGATAATACACTGGTTTGGGTGATTAGATGTACTGGAGCCAGTTTGGCTGCCTATGCTTGTGCAGGTGTCCGCTAGCAAAGGCAAACATGGAATGTAACCTCTGCGCAGTCAGTGGGATTTTCCGAATTTCTGCTCAGGATCAGCATTTAAGCAAAAATAAATGGCCATTTTAAAAGTATTTCACATTTTTTGTAAAGGATGAAGATGATGATGATGACTACGTTGAAGAAGGAGGTGATGAGGAGGAAGAAGGTAAGTTCTCAAGCTGCTCAAGTCGTGACTAAAACACTTGATTCTTTCTCATTCTCTAACTTTGCAAGTTTGGGATGTGCGTTTCAGTAGCGTAAATCACCTTGGCTGCTCGGTTTCTGAAGGTATGTGAGGTATTTTAGGATTGGTTTAAGCAGGAGCTCCAGCGGGCAGTAAATAGCTGTGCAGTCGCCCAGTGCCCGGTCGGATGGCTTGGCAAGTGAGCCTAATCGTGTTTCTTCTTCTATCTAGTCTTTTTTATCGATGGTTTTAGCTTTTTAAGTTCGTCAATTACTCCTGTGATGTCAGACATGGGTGTAATAGTGGAAAACGGAAAAAAGCAAGCGGGTGTGTGGTTCGTCCCGCTTTAAGACGACAGAGCGTATGGAGTGTCTGCAGCCCATGAGGACAGAGTGGTGTTCTTGCACGCTGATGCTGTCCTGTTGGTATTTTTCGGGACATAAAGCTCTGTTTGCAAGAAGTGGGTTTCTTGAGTGTGTTTGTTTTCATAAAAGAACTTTTTATGGTATCTTTTGATATTTGAAAAAGGACCCACAAGAAGTTAAACAGGGTGAACATCTTACTCAGTCTTTTTGCACCTTGCTTGTGGTTTCCAGGCGTCCCCGTGCCATGCTCCTGCTCCGTTCCGGAGGGCCGGAACAGAGTCGCTCTGTAGCAGAAGGCTTATCCTAGACTCTTGTGCACATCAGCGTGCTCTGATCTGGGGGCGGATGCGGGACGTGGCTGTATGCATCTCCGTGTTCCACGTGCCACGACCAAGGCACCGGACAGGAGTCCTCTTATTGCCGGGCAATGGCTGCTGAAATGCCTTAAAAAACCAGCAAGCTTCACCTTAAAATTAGGTGGCTTTTACTCTCACCTTTCTTGCTGCGAGGCTATCCCAGAACTTTGCTTTTCTAATGGCTAGCAAGTCCTAATCTTTAAACAAACAGCAGAGTTTTGTCTTGGTGCTGAAGTGTGAACTGTACACAAATTGCAGGATTTCTCCGCAGACCAGTCCCCGTCTCGTGTGCGCTTGGCTCAGTGGAGCAGCGTTTGGGGATGTATCTTGCACTTGAAAAAAAGGAAATTCTGAATCAGTAATGCGAATTCTTCGCTCTTGACAAATACAGCCTCCAGATCGATTAAGACAACGAAGCAGGCGGTCAGGATGGCTAATTAGCCAGGAAATGACTGCCGGGAAATAAATATATTAGATTTGACAAAATTGCGTTTCATGATTTCGCCACAAGAGCGCACAGTCCACTGCCCGAGTTCAGCATGTTTCTGGGAGTAAGCTCGAAGGTGTTTGTGCAAGATGCTTCGGTCTTGCATCGGAGAGAGAACGGAGCGTGTTTCACTGGTATCTGCAGAAACTGCTGGGTTTTGGGAAGGGTGTGTGCAACTTCGAAAAACTAAAGTTAGGGAGGTAGACAAAGGTAATTTTCATTTCTCAAATGTGTTAACAGAAACCCTTTTTTGTAAATCTGTATCCTACCAGTGATTGCCCTGTGGAGCATCACATACCCAGTTCAAGTGAAGCATGGCCTGGGTGGGTTATTCCGCGTAGTGTAAGCTGGTCTGTCACAGCGCATGAACTCCAAACGCACCGGGAACCCGTTTGGAACTCTAAACGCACTGGGAACCCGTTTCGGTTGCCTTTTCGAAAGGTGGAATGTTGCATTTGCCTGAGCAGAACGTAATGAGATGTATGTGTACCTCTTTTCCTTAGCAGAGGGCGTTCGAGGGGAGAAGAGGAAACGAGACCCTGAAGACGAAGGCGAGGAAGAGGAGGATTAATTTGTTAGAGACACCAGTAGGACCAGACTCTTCAGTTACGGAATACGCAATAGTGATTATGCAGATCTGTATGTCTCCATGTACCATAGATGTCCCTACAGAAGAGAATATGTTAACTTTTTATAGGAGAAGTGTGGTTTTACTATTCTTGCCCTTTTTATCATTCCAAATAAGAGATAATAGCCTGTTAGTGAGCCTATACGTAGAAAACAATTCTCAGCCCTATAATCACTGAAGCCATTGTCAAGTTTTTCCCCCTCTAGACTTTGATTTGTAGCTCTTTAATTTTATACAAGCTTGCTGTGTTGGTCCTCATTCGCCCAGAGTTCAAACACCCATCTCACGGGGGTTTAATATTGTGAATTTCCTTCAAGATTTTAAAGTTTTTATACGTAAAAAGCTGAACACACAAATGCTGGATGGCAAATTCCAGTCTCTCCAAGGAGATGTTGACTACAGTCTGAGTTTACCAGGAATTCTATCTGAAATCAAGGACTAGATGGCACCTTTATTTCAGCTTTTTGGAAGGTGACTCCTGTAATATTTTTTTAAGTCTTCTCTCCCATTGTGTTTGTCACATTGTAAAGCCTGAGTGGGTTTCAGGAGGTCTTTTTTTTTTTTTCCCTACTAGTTTGGTGTTTTCTGGAGTATTCACTAGGTACCTCCAGGAACGTATCTTGGCAGACTGAAAGGGTCGTGATCCTTAAATTTTCTCCAAAATACGTAGTCATGGCGGGCGTTAAAAGCAAATAACGTGTAGTTTTAAATCATTTCGCTAGAAATCATTGTTCAACTTTCACTCACTTTGCTCTCGCGTTGTCATTGTGGGAATTCTGCAGCAGTCGTGGTGTCGGGCTATACAATATATGCATTCCTAATGCAAAAGTTAACGGGTAACTCCTTCAAGCACATTTTTTTTTTTTCAAGTGACCCCTCCTCCCCTACTTTTATAGCTGCATTGGAGGGGGAAGGATGAACTTAAGTTAGTCTTTCTTCGCAGGTCACCTTTTCAACTTTTTAAATCTGGCTGTAGGCAAAACATTCAAGTTCCTGTACAGTACTAGTTAATAATTTAGGGGGTTTTATATCCAGTGGCTGCAGAAGCTTGTTTCGTTGCATATGGCTGGTGGCGAGCACGGGAGTCGTGTGGACAAAACCACCTGTAGATGTGGTTTTTTCTAGCAGCCTGATTGTGACTGGCAGGTTAATAATTCTGCCCCAACAAATTCATGTTTTCTATGGGAGCCACTGCAAAACCAAGTTTCAAACGGCATTAATTTGGAATTAAAACAGTAGTCTTGATATGAAACTAATTGACATTGTTTCACGTAGGTACTGAACCAAATACCACACACAGCTTTATTCAAGAGACTTATTTTTATATCTGTCTTGGCTGACAATAGCTGCCATTAAACTGGGGGAGACACCAAGGGTGGGCAAGAGGGGAGATTTCCTGGACCTAATAAGAGTCGGTCACCCATGGATCGGTTACCTGTGAATATTTAATAGCTGTTTCACACACTAGCAGACTTTAAATGTGACTTCCAACTCTTAAATTTAGATACTGCAGGGTTGAAGTTCTGCAAAGCCCAATTTCTTGTGTGCGTGGATGTTGGTTTGTTTTTTTTTCCCCCCCTCCCCCCCCAATAGAGCCTTAAATCCTAGTTTCTCACGTAGCTGTAAAGCATAGCCAGCCATTAACGGCGTGGAGCGGAACGTGGCCGGTGGCAACACCTTGGAAATGAACTGACTAAACGGGGTTTGCGGTTTTTTTTTTCATGAGTCTATCTAAAGACACTAGTCCCGTAGTGGTAAAACTACGTCTGCAACCACAATCGAAGTTCCTGTGCTTGTGTATGAATACTGAACGAATAGAAACCCTCGGTAAGTGCACATCCTATCTTGTCATGGAGGCTCTGTGTTCAAGGCAGTTGCTTTGTGCTCAGCTTTGAGATAGAAAAGTGTGGTTTTCCATCTTTTTGCTTATTTTATTAGTCTCAGCGAGTGATTGAAACCTATTATTTATAAGTGTGTACTTTGAGGTACCTCATGGTCAGGGTTTTCCTTAACTGTCCTTAACTGATGCATATGAAATGAGTTTTAAATGGGAAAAAAAATGTATTTTGATGGATAAAAACTGAGCACCGGTGTTGGTCCAGTCAGCAAATCCAATTCTGATGCTGGACGAGCTAGCTGGATAAGACAAAAAACTCAGAAAGGGTTAGCAGACCTTCCCTAAGGTGATTTAACACTTGTAGAACCAACTCGCAGTGTCGCGCGTCAGCCGCCACATCTGAAAATCTGAGCCTCACGCAAAACTGAACTTGCTAAGTAACTTTGTCTTTTCCTCAGCGTTACCATCGGAGTATAGTTTCATATTTGTCAGCTTGGCATGCAATTAAACAGCATTTTTTAAAAAAAATAATAAGTAATACAGAGCCTCCAGATAACTTTTGAAACTTTTTTGCTTGGTGGGTGGTCTTTTCATGCAAATATGTAAGGGTGGGTTTTATATTTTGTAGAGGTTTTGTCCTATTTTAATGCTCTTTGTATGGCAGTATGTATATAGTGTGTTTTTGGTTCCTTATCAAACTCTTTCCTTAAACTTTGGAGTAACTGATTTTGTGCAACTGTGTTTTGAATAAAGCCATGACAGTGTTAAATTAAAGAAAACAACCCTGCAGCACTCTTCTGATAACTTTTAGTTGTAACAAAAACACGTTTCCTTCCCACGTGTGCTGTAAATTTTAAATTAAAAAGTTTTCAAACCGAATTATTTCAAATAAATTGCGACTATTGTATTGGATTACTTCTTTTAGTGTGTACAGCTGCGGAGAGCATGGCATTTCTTAAGGAATGGAGTAAGGTGGTTGTTCCTAGCAGTTTTCTTTATTGGATACCTGCAGAATTGTGTGTCTTTCTGGGGCTAGAACCTGGACTTTTGACACTGGTTCTTGGTAACATTGTCACAGACAAAGGATGCTGTGGAAAACCCAAAGTGATGTCTGGATGCGTCACCGCGAGTGTTTCCAGCTGAGTTTAATGGAGAAGTGAGCGTTGGAGCTGACAGGGCCTTCGCACACTGTGTACATCAATCCCGTTCGAGTGTAGCTGAGCAAGTCTGAGTCTTAAAGAAAAATGAAAATCACAAGCTTGTTTATATTTTACTTTTCATAAATGCTGACTTGGTGTGACTGACAGCCCGAGCTGCACGTCTAAAGCTGTCCTTGCGACGTGGCTGCCTTGGTCTGTGTGAATTACTCCTCATTGGAGAACAGTGATTTTAAAAAGCTGCTCCTCCTGTACAGCTAGACATAGCATTGTTTTTGTTTTGGAATTAGTCCAGCGTTCTTGGCAAAAATCCCCTGGATGCACTTGAGAAAGCTGGTGGCTAACCAGGCTTTTCTTCTACGTGAGTGATTAGCCAAGAAGTGGGTGATGGTTTTTTGGGATTTCTCTTTTTTTTTGTAACTGTGGGGAGCAACTGCGTTTTCCATTGAGGCCCCACATTGGCTGCTCACTCCCTGTGCATGTATTTGCCCACTGGAATGAGACTCGATGGGGAACCTGAGCTTTGGGGTTGCTTTTAACACAGATTTAGCCTGCCTTTTGGGGATACTGGTGGTTTTGTGTCAACTGAACCCAAGCTGTTCTGTTCTGGTACGTGGCGAAGGAGAGGAAATACAGTGCTGTGTAGGCACGTCTTCAAACTCAGGTAAAACTCGCGGCGTGGGCTGACAGGCTCCTGAGCTCTTTCTCTTGCAGGCGAGCAGCTTGTCGTGACCTGCCATAAACCACCTCTCTCCTCGCCACAGTCGCGTTTAAAGTACCCGCCTGCTGCTGCAGGAGTCTGCGTGTCCGGCCCCCAGCAGCCAGATGCCCCACAGGGCTGGACGCCATGCCCTCTCCCTGCCGGCAGCCGGGCTGGAGCCTGCCGCCCTCCAGAGCCTAAAAGCGGACCAGAGTGCCGTCTCCAGCAGAATCCCAGGGGCTCTGCTGTCCTCCATTTTGTCGCAGTGAGGGAAAGCGCTGCTGGCGTGCGGCTCCCTCCCTCCTGCTCTTCTCCTCTCCGACACTGTGTCTTTTGTTGCCCCTTCTTTCTATTTCCCGCCCTTCTCGGCCCTTATCTCCCCCTTCCAGTCGTGCTGCTTCC